AAAAAAAGAATAAAGACAAAAAGAAATAAGACACTAATCAAATAACATATTCCTAGTTAAGTGGACCAGCCACACGGAGCGAAGTATACATATGCTTGTGCTTCCCGGCTTCTTATTTTTCCTAATCCAATACACAACCATAAAAAAAAAAAAAAAAAAAAAAAAATATAAAAAATACAATAAAAAAAAAAAACAATACACGTCTATTCTCATCATATTACCACTCTCCCAGATTGGCAAAAAAAAATCAAAAAATCAAAAGTCAAAAAAAATGTAGTTTCCTCCCCCCCCCCCCCCCACACCACACCACCGCAACACCCCCATCCCCTTGCATCAGGGCAAAGTGGAGCTGGTGAACGAAGTTGGTCAGGTGGACAAGAGCACGCAGCGCGACCACGAGGACCGCACCATCCCCTTCCACAAGTGGTTCTCCCTCGCCCTCGTCGTGTCCTCCCAGCACGTGGGCGTGTTTCTGAACGCCAAGCCGCTTGCTGCGTTTTCCATCGGGCAGCGCAAAACGCGCAAGAGCGAGAAGAAGACCAACGAAGAGCAAGGGGACGGCGATGGTGATGCTAACAGCGACAACGAGGATGGCACAGCTGGGGACCACACCACCACCAAAGACAACAACGCTGACGACGATGACGGCAACGTGACTGTCATCGACCTTGATGCAGATCAATCATCATCCCACCACCGCCACCAGCAGCAGCAACAGCAGCAGCAACAACAGCAGCAACAACAACAGCAACAGCAGCAACGCGGCTTCTCTGGTCCCCGCCGCAACATGCGCTTTGACAAACAGCGAGGCAGCAGTGGGCTGCCGTTTTGGCGACCCACGTCCCCCGCGTCATCCTCGTTTGATGTGACGCCGGACCTGGAGTACCTGCCGAGCGTGGCCCTCTTCCCGGCGCGGCTGCGCCTGCGTGGCGACGCAGACGCACGCGTGCTGGTGCGGCACGTTGGCTTCTTCAACACGGCGCTGGACCCAGCCTCGCTCAAGAGCACCGCCACAGGCGTGTACTCGGAGTACATGCACAACGTGCAGAAGGAGGAGCAGCGCATGTTTGCCTCGCTGACGCTGAGCGCGTTCTACCGCTCGCCGCCGCCCATCTGGAAGCACCCCACCTTCGTGGCCGAGTTTGGCGACATGCACGTGGCCCCGACCCACCCGCAGATTGGCGGCGCCCTGGTGCAGAGCACGCTGCCCGTGCTGGCCATGGCCCTCAGCGTCACCACGCAGGGCACCGACAACGACTGGCTCACCACCTTTGACAGCACGCAGCGCGCGCACCTGCACGAGATCACGGCCGTGCTGCAGCGCGCCGTGCCGCTGTGGCGCCGCTTCCCCTTCAACGCGCAGTTTTACGCCCGTTACATGCGCTCCCTCTTCAAGCCCGCGCTGGAGTCCCTGTCCGTGGGGCAGACGTGCATGCTGCCCATTGGCCGCTCTGAGCACGGTAGCATGCTGCTGGTGGAGCGCACGTCCGTGGCCACTGCACGCGTCGTCGCCATCGACACGGGCTCCGAGGCCGCCACCAAGTTTCTGCAGACGCGGGTGGAGCTTGCCTCCGGGCTGCCGCGCGTCACCTACCGCATCGCCTTTGTTGTGCCGGAGGTGGCCTTTGAGCGCATCACCAACGACGGGTTCTGGGCCGTCGCCTACGCCGCCCGCAACTTGCAGCGCACGCACGACGTGCTGGTGGAGTTCTTGGCCAACGCCCCGCCAGACACCATCCTGCAGCAGACGCAGGACGACGCGTGCATCGACTACCACCGCCTTGCCGCATCGCCTTTCGCCTTCCACCAGGGGTTCCGCGCCGCGCTGCACTACATGATGCGGCGGCAGGGATTCACCCACCAGCAGTGCGACTTTGTGAACCTGCGCCTGCGCCACACGCTGCTCACGTACGCCCGCAACGATCTGGCGCACGTGCGCAAGCTGGACGCCTCCGACCGCACCATGCTTGCGCTTGCCTGCAGGCAATACGCCAGCGCCGCCGTCCAGCTCTCCCGCGCCAACACCGTCTCCCTGGCGCAGCTGGACGCCGTGCGCGAGTTTGTGTTTGCGCTCGATGCGGCCGCAGACAAGCTGCCGCTGCGCTTTGCCAAGGAGAGCGGGCCGCCCCCGCCCTGCACCATGCAGTCTGCACCGGACGCGCAGCGCCACCGCTACGACGCCTTCCCGCTCTCGGGCCACCTGGTTCGGCAGGAGGACACGGACGGGTACGCGGGCCAGCCCGTGCCGCCCGTGGCGTACGTGCCGCTGGACTTTACGCAGGTCCCGCAGAAGGTGCTGTGCTACGACGACGCGCTGGCCGCCATCCGCCACTGCGACAAGCTGTGCATGCTCACCATCAACCAGGCCAAGTTTGTCAAGCACCGCGCCAACCTGGTCCTGGCGCTGGTCACCCACACCTTCTGCCAGGTGCTGCCCATGCCCAAGTCCCAGCGCGCGCCCGACCACGCCGCCTGCTTCTGGCAGGGCCTGCGCATGCGCTTTGAGCGGCAGCTGGACCTCATGATCATGCTGCACCGCATCATGCTCGCCTTCTCCAACGCCCTCTGGTGCCACCGCAACAGCGCGGGCGAGCCCGCCATCGACCTGGCCCTGTGCGTGCCCGTGTGCATCGCCGCCGTGGCGGACGCCGTGATGAAGAAGCGCGCCACAGACCTCCCCTCCGAGGCGTGCCTGCACCTCATGGGCGAGTCCCTGCACGGGCGCCGCATCTGCCGCGGGTACGGCCTGGGCCTGCACATGCTGCCGCGCCAGCTGCAGAACGTGCCCGTCACGCACCCGGAGCTCAACGTGGCCCGCACCAACGCCATGGACTACTTCCAGGGCCTGCCTGGCCCCGCCATCTTCCGCTTCGAGCAGGGGCCCCCGCCCGGCAACATGTGCGACAAGTACACGCTGCGCTACCTGCGCACGCTGTGCCAGGAGATTGGCCTGCAGGGGCCCTTTGAGCAGCACCTGAACGACGGCACGGTGCTGCTGCACAACTTCCCCGAGCTGCGCTGCTACCGCGACATCTGCTACCTCATGAAGATGCACCAGCTCAAGGAGTCGTACGCCAACGCGCTCAACCCGCTCGAGGCGCGCCTCGCCTTTGTCTGGAACAACGGCGCGTACCAGGTGACCATGATGGGCAACGGCATCAGCCTCGTCGGGGCGCCCGCCACCCGCCGCACCTCCGTCGCCCCGCACCTTACGAACCAGCCCCTGTCCACGGAGGACGACGTGCTGCACGAGCCAAAGCTGCCCACCTTTGACGACGCGCTCTCGCAGGAGGACAGCGAGCTGCTGCTGTCCTACCTCACCGTGCCCTACATGCGCATTCCGCTCCTGCTCTCCTTCTTCAGCAGCGACGACCGCGTGCAGGCCCTGCAGTGCAACCAGCTGCGCCAGGTGCTGGAGGAGGTGCTGTTTGAGCCGCTGCGGTTTGCGCGCCAGCACACCTCGCGCGCCCCCACGCACGTGCCCACGGCGGACCGTGAGCTGCTGGCCACGCCTTATGGGATCCTCGTCAACGAGCTCAGCCGCTCCCCGGAGACAACCATGTCGTGCTGCATTGCGCTCCTGCGCCAGGCCCTCAACCTGGACACGGGCGACCCCAAGCAGTCCACCACACCCATCATCCTCTTTGTCACGCGGCTGGCGGCGCGCGTGGACAACTACGCCGCCCTGCTCATCGACATTGCCAAAGGCGCCCACGAGAACTACACGCACCACACGGTGCTGCGCGACGTCACCCTGTCGCCAGAGGCCCTGGCCACGCTGCAGACGCTGCTGTCGCAGCTGCGGCTGGAGCTGCGACGCGGCGCCTACAACGTCATCAACCACTGGATCGAGCGCTTCACGCGCCAGATTCTGGAGCTCAAGGACCAGTCGCAGCTGGACGAGCTCAGCTCCCTGCTGGCCAACTTTTACGCCCACCTGCTGCTGGTCTTCCGCAACGTCAAGTTCGCGGAGCTGACGGAGGACGTGGCCAGCCTCCTCGTGTCTGGCTTCCTCTTCCTCAACAAGCGCCAGAACTTCACCACCCTGAGCATGCCTTCCGTGGACATGTTTGAGTGCCTGCAGGCAGTGCGCCACCGCCTCGTGCGCTGGGCCAACAGCACCACCGCACGCCGGCTCTCCCTTGTCTGTGAGGCCTCCGTGCGCGTTGTGTCCAGCAGCGGCCAGCGCCGCCTCAAGGCCCACCGCCAGCACGCCAACAAAAATAACAACAACAACAACAAAAACAACAACAACAGCAACAAGGCTGCCACCACTGCCTCTGCTGCAAACGCTCCTGCTGGAGCCGATGGGAATACTGAAGGGGCAGCAGATGGCACCGAGCAGAAGCTGATGGCCTGCTGGGCCTATGTTGCGGGCAAGACGTCGTGTGGCCGCTTCACCACCTCGCCGACGCGCCGGCTCCCCATTGAGCCGGCAACCCACGCTGAACACGCTGGTGGCGCCACAGCAAGTGGCGCAATCGCATCAGCAGCAACCACAGCAGACACAACCACAACCACTGCAGAGACAACAGCAACAGCAGCAACCACAGCACACGCTGCTGACGCCGCCGATTCTGTTGACGATGATGATGATGATGCGGTGGTGGACACGCTGCCCGACCGCAACTTGCCGATTGAGCTGGACATGCAGATTATGCAGCTGACGGTGAACAAGTCGCACCTCATGGCGCTGCCCGCAGAGTTTCTGAACCAGCCGGAGGTGGTGGACGTGTTTGGACACCAGCCAAACTTCCAGTGCACCACGGTGGAGGAGGCGACGAACCGCGTGTGGGTGCGGCTGATTGGCCGCAACCACGACATCCAGCTGTGGCGCACGACGGACGACCGGCCCTGGTTCACAGAGGCTGACCGCGAGTACATCCCGCACGCGCTGCAGGAGCACGAGCAGTGGATGGCGGAGCTGTTTGAGCCCCTGCGCTTTGCCGCCTTCTACAACCCGTTTATGCCCATCCCCATCATGATGGACGAGACGACGCACACGCGCGCCAACCTCGCGCGCCTGATTGTGCTGCACCCGTGCACCATGCTGCCCACGCACGAGGTGTGGCTGCTGCGCGGACAGCAGGCCATCCACGTGTACCGCCTCCTCAGCTTTGGGCGCCGCTTCTACCGCACGCTCGTCTTCACCACCGACGCGCGCATGTCGTACCTGCACCTGCAGCCCAGCTTGTCCGACCGCAACCAGCCCTGGCCGGAGTGGGCGCGCTTTGCTGCGGGCAGCGTGCACAGCAACCCCTTTGGCGGTGCGACGGGCGCCACGCCGCTCTCCGCCGTCATCACCCGCGGGTGGGACCAGGGCGAGAACGTGTCGGGCGGCACGGAGATGTACCTGCCGCCGTGGATCCTGCGGGGTCTGCTGCCGAGCGTGCTGCTGGAGCAGTACATGTTCTGGCAGGACGAGGACGACGTCGTGCGCGGCTACCCGCGCGACAAGGACGCCCGCACAGATATGCTGGAGGTGCGCGTGCAGCTCGTTGCCGGTATTGACCAGAGCACGGTGCCGGACGGGGAGGCGCGCGTGCGGCGGTTTGCGCTGGCAGACGTGCGCCGTCGCCACGAGGCCGTGCTGGACGTGTTCCTGGCGCTGGAGAAGACCCGCCTGGTCGACGACAGGTGCCAGGAGCGCAAGTGGGACCGCCTCAAGACAGACGCGCCCCTCAACCGCGTGCGCAAGGTCACCAACCTCGCGCTCATCGACACGCATGCATCGCGCGTGCGCATGGCCATTGACAACGCGGTGGCCAGCGAGCCCAGCAAGCGCGGCGCAGGTGGCAACGGTGTCGCCACGACTGCTGCTGCTGCTGCTGCTGATAATACTGGTGGCACCGGTGACAATGCCAGCAGCACGGAGGGTTCTGGCAAGGGCAAGGAAGGCAACGCTGATGCCGCAGAAGAACGAGCGGGAACCACCAACGCCAGCGGCGACGGAGCAACCGACAAGCGCAAGAACAAGCCGCTGACCACAAACGTGGTGCTGGCATCCACAACCGTGACGGTGGACCCCAACCAGCCGGCGCGCCGTGCCAAGGAGAAGAAAAAGCCACGGCGCAAGCTCGCGGCAAAGAAGAAAGGAGGCCGGGGAAAGCTCTTCCAGCACCCTGGCAAGCAGCATGCTGCAAACGCTGCCACTGCCGTGGACAGCGATAGCGACGGCGAGGACTCGTACTACAACGCGCTTGGCGCCGTCCCGTACCGCTTCCAGTATGAGCTTGAAGTGAAGGTCCTGCGCACGGACCTGGCAGATACGCAGGTGTACTCTGACGACGAAGGCGACGATGACCTGCATCTGGAGCAGCAGCGGCAGGCGCAGCGTGTTGGGGCCAACACAGACAGCGGCACTGATGCAGCCGCCGCTCGCAAGCGCCTTGCCCGCCACCGCGCCCGCGTCATTGCTGCGCGCACTGCTGCTGCTGCTGCTGGTGGCGGCGACGACGGCAGCGCTGTGGGCATGGACGCGTACTCAGTGTCATCATCAGATGATGACGTCGATGACGAAGCTCGAGATGAGGAGGAAGAGGAAGAGGAAGAGGACGAAGATGTTTGGACGGCTGAGTATGAGCAGCGGCGTGCGCGCGCGTGTGGCCTTCCAAGCCCCTACCACTTCTTGAAGGCGTGCGAAAGGTTGCTGGATGGGCTTGGCTACGCATCTGCACATGTCGCGAAAGCCATTGTGCGCGTTGCCGAACACCACCACACAAAGATGCAGCAGGAGCAAGCCCAAGATGAGCAGCAGCGCCAGCTCGACAAGCAGCAAAGGCTGCAGGAAAAACAACAACAACAACAACAACAGCAGCAGCAGCAGCAGCAGAAGGAGGGTGGCAATGCAAGCGTGCATGCAGAAACGGCTGCCCAACAGCGTGAGCAGCGGCAACAGCGGCAACAGCGGCGGCGTGAGCGGCGTCGTCGTCGTCGCCAGCGCGCAAGGTCCCCCTTTGCAACGTTTGCAGAGCTGAAACAGGCCCTCCAGGCCGAGCTGCAGGCCATGGAAAAGGAGCAGCACGAGAAGGAGAAGGAGAAGGAGAAGCAAGAGGGAGGCAACAGCAGCAACGACGGTACCGCTGGGGCTGATGCGAAGCATAAGCTGGTCAAGGTGGACATGTCGAAGATTGGCACGCTGGCCGATCCGCTGCAGCTGGTGAACCTGCTGTATGCCATGCCTGGCAGCAAATACCACTCGCTGGCACAGGTGGTTGCGCGCATCTCGCCGCTCGGGCGTGCACTGGTTTGGGTGCACGAGAGCCAAATTTACGGCAAGAAGGGCCCTGAAGCCGTGCTGCGTACAAACAACAACAACAGCAGCAGCAACAGCACCACCACCACCACCACCACCACCGCTTCCATGCCTTCTGCCACGTCAAACGCCAGCGCCAACAACAGCAACAGCAACGGCGCTAGTGCTGGTGCGGCGGAGTGGGCAGGGCTGCCGCCTCGCATCACGTGGGTGCCGCAAGACACCGCTGTGACGCTGGTGGAGCTGCCAGACCTCAAGCTGTCGTTTACGGAGCGCAAGTGCGAAGCAGGTGGCGTGCCGCGTCTCTTCAGCCGCGACTACAATGACTTGTTTGTCACCAACGCCCGCAACGCCCGCACCAACCGCCTGCTGCGGGGCCTGCCGCACTCCCTGCTGCTGGCCAACAGCAACGACGAGATGCAGATTCTGGTACCGGCCGTGCGCGTGCACCGACCAAACATTGCCAACTGCCCCTTCTCCACAGAGCTCGTACTCAAGTTTGACGACAAGGCGTGGGCACAAGAGCTGGAGACGCCATACTTTCTGTACCCCGTGCACGTGTCGCTGTCATTCCTGTTCACGCCGACGCTGGCCTCTGCGCTGTACCTGCTGCTCCTGCGCCTGCTGCACCGCGACTACGCAGAGTGCTTCCGCCTTGCGCAGACCATCAGCACAGACACGACGCTCACGCCCGAGGAGATGCAGCTCTTCGCCCTGCTCTCCGGCCCAGCAGCACAGGACAGGCACCCGGATGCGCTGGCCTGCATCCTGCGCGTGCTCAACGTCACTGCCGGCGCCGTGCAGCCACAGGGCATGACGGTGGGCGGCCTGCGCGGAATGACGCTGAACGTGACGCAGTTCTTCCACGAGTACGCGCAGCGCCTGGCGCACGTGAGTGCCGAGTGCCGCCTCAGCGCCGAGGACGAGCTGCAGGTGCTTGAGAACATGGTGGTGTGGTCGGAGAAGCAGCCCGCGTATGACCCGAACAACCACGCCGAGGCGCACCTGGTGTGGAACCACAACCGCCGCCAGCACCTGCTGGCCATCCTGGGCAAGCTCGGCACCGCCCGCAACGGCGGCGATGACTCGTTTGATGACGCGGATGGTGATGTTGATGTCAATGTCGGTTATGGCGCCGGCAGTGGTGCTGTTGAGCAGCAGGATGAGAATGCGCAGGACGCCACCAACACCAGCGAGAGCGACAGCACCAGCGCCGCCTCAACTGAGCACAAGAAGACCATGCTGAAGCTGCGGTTGCCCAAGCGAAAGAGCGGCTCCTCGTGGGTGTACTTTGACGACGACGGCTTGCGGGATCTGCACAAGCGCAAGCCAAACCGCCTGCGCATCTTCTCGCAGACAGACACCAACTCGGCTGGGTTTGGCGCCAACGCGTGGCGGCAGATGCTGCTGTCCCACAACACCACGCGCAAGTCTGTTGTCGTCGTCATCCTGTTCAACGCGTACGCGGAGGACACGACCATGGCTGACGCGCTCCGCGCCATCGCCGACAAGTACCACAACGTGGACTTTGTTGCCTTGCCGGGCATCGACAAAACCTCCTTCGAGCAGCGAATGGAGATTGAGGCCGAGAAGAGTGAGAAGAGCAAGAGCAAGAGCAAGGGCACGGGCTTTGGTGGCGGTGGTGGCTTTGGCGGCAGCAATTTTGGTGGTGGTGGTGGTGGCTTTGGCAGTGGCGGAGCCAGCGCGGATCCGTCTTCCACTCCAACCCCGCACTTTTACCTGTTTGTGGACGACAACCTGCGCTCGCGCGGCACTCTGTCGGGCACGGATGCCAGCGAACTGGAGCGCAAGGTGGCGGAGTACAACCCGTCTGTGCGCGCCTTCAACAACGTGTGCGTGGAGTATGCGCACAGGGTTCGCGCCGTCATGGCCACGACAAAGTGCACAGAGTCAGAGGCCATTGCCGTGCTTGCCCGCAGCAACGTGCCGGAAGCACAATCTCCAGCACGGAGCACCGACGCCCCCACCAACGTCGCGGAGGACGCAGGCGGCAGCGCCCGCAACTCCAAGACCAATGGCAGGGGCAAGGCACGCGGAGCCCTCGGCGCCGGCGAGATGTCTGATCTCGAAGCGGTGCTCGACCACCAGGTCCAACAACAGCACGCTCTGCGCCAAGCACATGCTCAGGGACAACAAGATGGGCGGCCCGTGGTGGGGCTGGTGGCGGCCAGGCGCACCAACCGACCCAATGCCAAGGCAAGGGGTGGCGCGGTGGCCGTAGCTAGCGGCGGTTCATGGAGCAAGGGTGGTGCTGGCGGTGCTGGCGGTGCTGGCGGTGCTGGTGCTACGGACAGGTCTGGTTCGCTGCGCCGTGTGGTGCTGACGGGGAAGACGCTGACGCAGGCCGGCATTGAGGTGATGGGCGAGCGCGTTGGGCTGGTGGTGAGCGATGTTCACGCCAACAGCAGCGCGGCCAAGACAAACAGGGTGTTCCGGCACGACGTCGTGTGCCAGGTGGGCAACAAGTGGGTGGTTGGTGCTGCGGACGAAGCCAAGGCGGCGCTCATGAACGCTCTGCAGACGGGCACGGCGACGGTGGTGCTGGCGGAGGAGTGCATCATCTGCCCTGCATTCCACCGCATGCAGCTTGTGTTTGCCACGGATATGACACCGCTGCGCCAGGGCTGTGGCGTGTGCGGACAAGTGGTGGAGCACATTGAGCAGACAGAGCTGGCCCACAAACAGCAGCAGCAGCAGCAACAGCAGCAGCAGTACGGGCAGAAGAAGCCTCCACGGCAGAGGGCGCGTGCAAAGCATGAGCCGGGCGTGTTTCCTGGCAGCCCGGCCGACAAGATGCGCAGCGGCGGCGATGGTGCTGTGCAGGGTGGCGCTGCTGCTGATGCTGACGATGACGATGACGGCGATGACGAGGCGCACAAGGCGTACGTTGTCCCCGCCAAGTTTGCCTCCAAATGCGCGTACCACTGCACCATCTGCAGCTTTTTCACGTGCGTGCGCTGTAGCAACAAGGATCAGGTGTCGGTGGGCATTGTCACCAACCCGCGGGCGGGGTTGCAGGCGCTGGCCGAGAAAGAACTCACGCCACAGATTCCCGGCTTCCAAACGGCTTCTACAGCCAAGACGGCGCACAAGGGACAGGCGTTCAAATTTGGCACCAAAGACAAGGGCAAGGAGGACAAGGACAAGGAGAAGGAAGCAACGGAAGCCAAGGAAGCAACGGAAGCCAAGGAGGTTGAAAAGACTGCTGCTGCCGCTGCTGGCAGCGGCAGTGGCGTCATGGATGTGGGCTCGGAGAGTGACGATGATGGTACTGCTGGTGATGGTGGTGGTGTTGGCTTTGGCGCTGGTGCTGGCCTTGGTGCTGGTGCTCTTGGTTTTGGCCAACGAGGGTATCGTGGCAGCGGCCACGCACACCAGCAGTCGCATGGCGGCTTTGGCTCATCGCGTGCACAGCAGCAGCAGCAGCAGCGCCAGCAACGCGGAAGAGCCGGTGGTGGGTGGAAGTTTGGAAGCTCCAACACCATTGCCAACAGCGGTGGTGACAGCGGCAGCGACACGCTGGGCATTTCCAAGGCACAGGTGCGGGTGAAGATCCCGTCGCATGTGGAGGAGCGGGGCCACTGGGAGGCGCTGGAGTGTGTGCACCAGGGCGGTGTTCGCATGACCACGGCCACGGAGACGATGAACGTCATCCAGGCATGCCTCAACTGCACGCTTGATGGAAAGCAGACGCAGGTTGGCTTTGCGCTGCTGTACCAGCTGCTGACAGACCAGATCCCCGTGAAGGTGGTGTCGAGCGCAGCGGGCACGGTGGGCGGCTTTGTTCCGCCCCGTGTGGGCTCTGCCAAGGATCGGCTGAAGGAGAATTATGCCATTGGCGTGCTGCTGGTGCAGTTTGTGCGCGATCGCTTTGTGAGGAACCCGCTCTCCTGCATTCTGCACCACCTTGCCCGCAGCCGCGACTTTGCTGCCTGTGCGCCTTCGCTCATGCGCACGAGCTTTGGGCGCAGCAGCGCTGGCATGACCACGCTCGCGGGCTCGTCGCGCGCAACAGATGTGATGATGTCCGGAAAGTCCAGGGGCGGCTATGGCGCCTATGGTGGCGGCAGTGGCGGTTTTTATGGTAGTAGCGGTGGCTTCGGAGGTGGTGCTTCCACAACCCGCCCGCACCTCGACTCGGTACGGGGTTATGTGCATGTGTGTGTATGTAGATGTGATGTACGTTGCAGTTTGCGTGTGCGTATGGTACTTGGTGTGTGTGTGTGCGCGCGCGTGTGCGAGTGTTCTTATGCTTCTGTGCTCATGTGTGTGTTTGTGTTTGTTTGTGGGTTTTGCGAACGTTGTATTCCGTTTTGTCATCATCGTCCAACTATTCGACATGCTCATCATCCTCATTCTCACCACCACCACCACCATCATCCACCACCACCGCTGCTGTCATTACAACCCTCATTTTTGCAGCTGATTCAAGAGTGCATGGAGCTGATCAACAAAGCAGAGCAGCAGGCAAAGGAGGCGCCCGTCGCGCAGCCTGCACCGGAACAACAAGCCCCGCCCAAGCCCACATTCACCGCAAGCAAGCCAACAACAACAACGCCACCACCAGCGCGACCACTCCAACCTCAGCAGCCAAGCCCGGAAGAGCAACCAAGGCAACCAGGACGGCGAGGCATGCCGTTTAGACCCGGCGGGTTCCGCCCGCCAAATGCACCCAGCGTGCGTCGCCCACCGGGGTATGTGCCGGTCATTCCACTGCCGCGTGCCAAGCCGTGGCCCGCGCCCGCTGCGCCTGCGCTTGAATTTGTGGCGGATGAGCGGGTCAGGCGAGGGTGGCTGGTGCCGGAGCTGTCGGACTTGGCCTGCTCGCAGCGAAGCCTTCGTCCCACCTCTGCGCTCCCTGGGCTGAGCATGAGCAGCGAGGATGTGCATTGCTTTGCCAAGCAGCCGCTGGCATCCCTGCAGCTGGACAAGTTTGTGCACTTTCTCGGTCGGGAGGACATGGGCAAGCCGCTCGCCGACAACAAGCTCCCCTTTGACGTCTCCAAACACCCTTACGTGCGTGTTGTGTTGTGTTGTGTTGTGTTGTGTATTCGGGGAGGGGGGGGTTACGTGTGCATATGTTGTGCGTGCGTGTATGCGTGCGTGTATGCGTGCGTGTATGCGTGTGTATGCGTGTATGTGTACATATGTGTGTGTGAGCGTGCTGTCTGTCTCTGCATGCCTGTCTGCCTGTCCCTCTCTGTTTGTGTCGAAGAGACCTCTGAGTCGTTGCTGATGCACACGTGCTCACCACCGCTACCATCACTCAATCACCACCACCACCACCACCACCACCACCACCACCATTGCAACCACCACAGGCCAAGGCAAAGCCTGCACAGGATCTGGTTGCGCGGCTGCGCTCAGATATCAAGCTGTACGCCGACATTGTGAACACGCACAAGACACCCGGCCTCATCTCTGTTGACGACAGCTGCACCAGGTCCGTGGATTGCACATTCGCTCACACATACACATACATACGCATGCGCGCACACACACACACATAGATACGCGTAGACACACACATACACACACCCTCTCTCTCTCTCTCTCTCTCTCTCTCTCTCTCTCACACACACACTCACACCCACCCACCCACCCTCTCACACCCTCTCACACTCTCTCACACCCTCTCACACTCTCACTCTCTCTCTCACACACACACACACTCTCTCTCTCACTCCTCTCACACTCTCTCACTCCCTCTCCCCCACACACACATACACACGCACACACGCACACAACAGGGCGATTCAGGATGGCGGCGATGGCGGGCAGAAGGCACTTGCAACTGTGGCGGACACGTGCGAGGAACTGCTGGAGCTGCTGACGGCATTGCGCAAGCTGGACGCCGATTTCATCGACCAGGCGTCGCGCCAGCTGTCGCACGTGGTCAACGCGGTACAGATTGGCTCACACGAGGACATTGCCAGCGCACAGGGCAACGAGCAACGCACGCGTGACCTGCGTGAGCGTCTGGAGTTTGTTCTCGGCCGCTACTGTGGCGAGCAGGCGTTCATTTGGACAGAGTATCTCTTTGGCAGCCTGCTGTCCTCCCGCTGTGTGGAGGACCTGAAGAAGCTCAACCCGTACCTCAACAAGCGAGGCGTGGACCCCGTCCACGATGCTGTAGTCGCCACCTTGCTCCGATCCAACCGCATCGGTGCGCGCTTTGTGTGTGTGTGTGTGTATTTCTGTTGATGAACTTGTTTTACACACTTTGTTTCTGCAACAAATTTGCCCCATCGATGCGCTTTCTCAATCACACTCTCACACTCTCACTCTCTCACACTCTCTCACTCTCTCACTCTCTCACTCACTCTCTTTCTTTCACACACACGCGCGCGCGCACCCGCACGCACCCTCCACACTCCCAACACATCCGCGCAGGCCATCTGAACCGTTGTGTTGCGGCTGTGCAGGATCTGCTGCACCTCGTCAACGCCATCAAGAGCCACATCGTTCACTCTGGTGGGTTTGCGCGGGTGCTTGCGTGTATGTATGCTTGCTCATACAGGCTTACACACAATACGTTGACTGTGTTTCTCACACTCACACACACACGCACGTGCACACACTGACTTACACACACACACACATGCAGATGTGCACTCGCGGCTTGGGCGGGAGCTGCTGGTTGGGCTGCGGCAAAAGGGCGAAAGCGTGGCGCAGATGCTGACGGCGCGTCGCACGTACATGGACACGCACGGTGACGGCCACACGAAGGCCTCCCCGCACATTGTGTATGACCCACGCTACCTTGTGTTTGAGTTTACCTGGAACATCCTGCTGCGCCGGCCGCAAGTTGAGCTCGTGCGCGACATTGTCGGCGCATTGCAGCGTGGCGAATCCATCGTCAAGCAGATGATCATGGGTGCGTGCGTGTGCGTGTGTGTGCTAGTGTGTATGTATGTGTGTGTGCGTGTGTGCGTGTGTGCGTGTGCGCGCGCGCGTGTGTGTGCGTGTTGGAGGCGGGAGGGAGTAAGGCTGATTGCTGGTTTCTGGTTGTTTTTGTTGTGCCGGTAGTGCTTGCTTGCATGTACGCAACTTGGCCGCATCATCATCACATACATACATATGCTCACATCCACTTTGCTGTTAACTTTGCACTTGCACAGGTGCCGGCAAAACCACTGTCATCGGGCCCCTCGTGTGCCTCATGCTCGCAGACGGCAAGGCCTTTGTGGGACAGGTGCGCAACTCAAGATACACGCACGCTCGTGTGTGTCTGTGTGCGTGCGTGTGTGTGTTTGTGTGTGTGTGTGTGTGTGTGTTCTGCGCCCTTTGCAGCAATTCAGTCGCCCTTGATTGTAACGAACACATGCCTTTTTCCCTTCCTGCCTACGTCTCGATAATCGCACCCCTGCTCCACCTCCCCCCCCCTTCTGTCTCCCTCTCCCTCTCCCTCACCCCCACCTTTCGCCTGTTCGCCTGTTTCAGGTGGTGCCGCCGTCACTGCTGGAGTTTACGCGGTCTGTGCTGCGCAAGACGTTCAGCACTGTCTTCCACAAGCGCATCTACACGCTGTTCTTTGACCGCTCTACCACCGTCACGCACGCGCTGTGCGACAAGCTGGAGGAGGCGGTGCGCAAGCGTGCCGTGGTCATCAGCACGCCGACGTGCGTCAAGAGCATCATGCTCAAGTACTTTGAGGCGCTGGACGTGCTGTCGGACGAAGCAAGACCAACACAGCTCAAGATTAAGATGGCAAAGGATGCGCGCGTGCTTGGCCGCGCCATGCGTCTGTTCAAGCAGGGGTCGCTCATCATGGACGAGGTCGATTTAATTCTGCACCCGCTCAAGTCGGAACTCAACTTCCCCATTGGCCAGAAGTTTGATCTTGACCTCGCGCCCGAGCGCTGGGAGCTGCCAACACACCTCTTTGGTGCGCTGTGTGTGCACGTCGTGTGTGTGTGTGTGTGTGTGTGTGTGTGTGTCGTGTGTGTGTCGTAAGTGAGTGTGTCGTAAGTGAGTGTGCGTGCGTGTGTGTGCTTTGAGTGTGTCGTGAGTGTGTGTGCACGTACCGTTTCTATGTGAATGTACGCAGTGCCGTTTCCGCATCCACTTGTGCATGTGTTGTGCTTGTGCTGGCCGTTCTGCCGTTGTCTCTCCTCTCATGTTGTTCGCCTGTGTGTGTGTCTGTGTATGTGTCTTCTCACGCCGTGCGTCTGCGCAACACGTTTCTCCCCATCTTCACACCACCTCCTTGATCACTGACACTCGTGCGTGTTCGAACGGCGAAGACGGCGTGTTCTTTGCGGAGATGGAACGGACAACGGTTGGTTTCGAGGACAGCGGGTTTGGCCGCGCGGCGGTGGAGTCGCTTGCTGACGTGATCCACGAAGGCTTTGAGTCCCGCTCCCTGCAACGCAACCCGCACATTGTGCTGCTGGATGAGGCCTGGTACCACGACAACATGAAGCCAGCCCTGGCAGAGGTATGGTTGCTTTGCTGTTGGCTTTGCCTGTGCTTTGACATGCGCAATGCTTCGACGTGCCTTTGCTTTGCTTTGTCTTTGTGCGCCTGCCACAGGTCTCCTCTGTGCGTGTGTGTGTGTGTGTGTGTATGTGTGTGTGTGTGTGTGTGTGTGTGTGTGTGTGTGTGTGTGTGTGTGTGTGTGTGTGTGTGTGTGTGATCTACACGCCTGTCGCACACATTTACACCTCCCTCTTTCTCTCCTGCACTCACCACCCATCCAAACACGAAACGCGGCAGTGGTCCATCCTGTGGCTGGAAAAGCACCATGTCGGCGGCACCAACATCACCCGCGACGACATCCTGCGCTTCCTGCTGGAGCCGTGGGCGAGCCGTGATGCGGATTTGCACCGGCACTTGGCAGCCAACCTCGGCGCGAAGCAGATGAAGCTGTTGAACCTCACGCACGACTGGCTGCGCTCGTACCTGCCGCACTGCCTGCAGAAGATTGACCGCGTCTCCTTTGGCATCATGAACGAGGCAGACAAGAAGCACGCGCTGGAGGTGGACCCGCGCATGCCGCTGTCTCGCTTCAAGCTCGCCATCCCCTTTGTGGGCAAGGACGTTCCCTCGCGCAGCAGTGAATTTGCGCACCCGGATGTGATTATCGGGCTGAGCATCCTTGGCTACCGCTACGAGGGCATGCGCTGGGACGACTTTACCGAGGTGATGGCCACGCTCACGAGGACAGTGCGCAAACAGGTTGGCCCCAAGCACAAGCGCGCGGCGAGCGTGATGTTTGCCAAATGGGTGGAGCTTGCTGGCGGCCGCATGCAAGGCAAGCTTGTGTACAGCGAGCACGGTCAAATCGTCCTTGGCGAGGAAGAGCAAGACTATGGTAGGGTTTGTGTGTGCGTGCGTGTGTTGTGTTGTTGTGTTGTTGCGTTGTTGTGTTGTTGTGTTGTTGTGTTGCTGTGTTGTGTGTGAGTATGTGTTGTGCATGTTGTGCGTGTGTGGGTGTGTTGTGTTGTGCTGTGTTGTGGTTGTTGTTTGTTTGCTCGTTTGCTTGTGCGGTTGATACGCTTTGCTCTGGCCATTTGTCGTTCCCTTCACATCCCAACACACACTCACAATACCCACAACACATCCACAACACACAACACACAACACACACCCTCACTTACTCGACCTCGCCCTGCCCTCCCAACCCCTCCCCCCACCATCATCAACACAACACCTGCAGATGAGGCGAAGGAGATTATGCCGCTGTGGATGCTGGATCGCTCCAACACGGAGCAGATGACCAAGGTGTACAACCTGCTGCGTTCGCTGCCGGAGATGGTGCACTGGTACCTGCACGGCATCGTGTTCCCGACACACATGCGCCATCAGCGGCTCAAGCTGAGTGCCAGCGGCCAGGCTGTTGGCGGTTCGATGCTGTTTTCGCGCCGCGTGGGCTTTTCCGGCACGCCCTCGGACCTGCTGCCTGTTGAGCTGGGCCGCTGCGGATACGAGAAAGGCACAGACGGCAAGATGGTGCGGGTGATGACCGACCCCGATGTCGTTGGCTTTGACTTTCTGGAGGAGAACTGGTCTGTGAAGACGCTGCTGAACCGCATCGCCGAGCGGCCGACGGGGCAGCACTTCAACGCCCTCATTGACACGGGCGCGCTGGTGACGGGCATGTCCAACCGGCAGGTGGCCGAGTACCTCCTGGCCAAGGGCATGCCTTGGTGCGACGGCGTGGTGTTCCTGGACGAGAGCGACCGCAAGGTGATTCTGGTGCGCGCCACGCGCCGCGTCGTCAACGTGGACCAGTGCGGCATCCCGCTCAACAAGCGCTTCGCCTTTTATGACCAGGTGCACACCACGGGCATGGACATCAAGCACACCCCCAACGCCACCGCCGTGCTCACCCTGGGCAAGGACATGACCTTCCGCGACTTTGCACAGGGCGCGTTCCGCATGCGCGGCATCGCCAACGGCCAGACCATCCTGGTGTATGTCATCCCAGAGGTCATGGGCCTGGTGCAGCGCGAGCTTGCTGTGGCCAACGTCACCGTGTCTTCCCCTGCCGCACACGAGCCCGGCATGCGTGTTATCGCCGCCGCCGTCTCCGCCGAAGAAGCAGATGCGGACGCAGACGTGGATGCAGAAGGAGAGGGACGGGGAGATGCAGAAGCAAATGCAGAAGGAGAAACGGCTGCGGTGGAGGCCCGTGCTGCGACATCCGCTGCCGGTGTGCTGTCGTCGTCGCCTTCGTCGTCGCCTTCGTCGTCATCGGCAACGCTTGCTGCACGGTCGTTCCTGGAGCATGTCACGGCGTGGCTGGTCATCAACAGCATGCGCACGGAGCGCATCCAGTACAACCAGCTGTGCATGCAGAATGTGTGCAACACGTTCCGCAAGAACGCGCAGGCGGTGCTGGTGGACTCGCTGCACCGCTTCTCGGCCCGACAGCCCGTGCGTGACGCCAAGCTGCTGCGTGCGCTGCGCATCTTCAAGGAGGACGTAGACTACGACATCACCGCCGGCGTGCCGGAGCTGCGCGACCTCACAGCCGTGCTGGAGGAGCAGGTGAAGGAGAACAGCCACTTCTTGTTCACAGAGGCGGATCGCCAGCAGGCGCAGGCCGTGATTGCAGAGGTGCGCACGCAGTGGGAGAGCATGGTGAAGCTGTCCTCTGCGGCCGACGACCCGGTCAAGCTGGACACGACGGCGACGCGGGAGCAGGAGCAGGAGCAGGAGAAGGAGCTTGAGGACGAACGCCAGCGCGAGGTGCAGCGCGAAATTGACCTGGCCTACTCCCGCGATGAGGAGGCCCAGGTGCCGTGGAAGTTTGACACGCTGGCGCACCCGCCGTGCGACGTGCCCCAGTTCTATTCCGCCAGCGCGCTTGCGCTCAAGAACATGAAGACGCTGTCGTTCCCGGAGTATGTGCTGGCGTCCAACAACTACTTTGACAAGCGCTGGTCCGGCGACCGCCGCATCAAGAACGTCATCATGGTTCTGGAGTGGATCCCAGACCAAGGGCAGCTCGCCCTGGCCAACGACCTCTTCAACATCAACGGCGACATGCTCAACGGCAATGGCGGCAGCGGCGATCACGGCGCTCACGACGATCACGGTGCTGTGCCGTCGTCGTCATCAGCGCTGTCCACCGCGCCCGCTGACTGGGAGGCGCACCTGGCCCGCAGCTTTGAGTACTTTGCGACGCAGACGCGCACACAGGCGCCGCCGGCAGTGCTCGCGTCCACAACAGCACCAAAGGGTGTGCTCGACCGCGCGTCGCTGGCCCTTGCCCTGCGCACGTTTGTGCTGCGGGAAATCCGCGACAACGAGCTTGACCTGGCCTTGCAGCGCTACGGCGACGCAGACACGCACGCGTTTATGACGTTTGCGGGCTTCCGCGCCTTGATTCAGTCTGGAACGTTCACGCAGGTGCAGCGCGGGCGCTTCTTCGTGGCCGTGTCGCTCGCAGAGGCAGAGACCATCCGCCGCATCATGCACGTGCGGCTGGGTGGTGCCGTCATCCCTGGCGCTCCCACGGCCATTGCCCTGCGCTGCAGCCCCGCCAGCAACCGCGTGTTTGACCGCTCGGCCATGTACACGGAGGCGCCGCTTCACCACACGAGCGTGGCCTGGCAGACGCTGCGCTTCATCAACTGCGACATGCACTACACGCGGCCGCAGCTCGACTGCCTGCTGCATGCCCTGCAGGGCTCGCTGCCACGGGAGCGCCGCCGCTACTTTGAGAAGCTCATCGGCATTCGTCGCCGCTCCAAGAAGCGGTGGGTGGGCGCCCCGGTGTCCAGCGTGTTCTCCGTGCCAAGCTCGTGGTATGCGCTGCAGCAGCGGTCGGTTGCTGCGGCCATCCGCGCCGCCATCTCGCGTCTCGGGTTGAAGATGTACGACGCGTGCGTGTTCTTCGACGCGGACAAGAACGGGCTTGTGTCGGCCTCGGAGCTCATGGGCGCGGTGCTGTGGCTCGGGCTGCAGCTGGCCACCCCGCAGGACGTGCTGCAGGCCATGCGCATGTACGACGTGGACGGCGACGGGCAGCTGAGCTACACCGAGTTCCTGACCATGGTGCAGCAGTCGTTCAGCTACGGCTACGACGAGACAGAGCACGACGACGCCACAGCCCGCGCCAATCACGGTGACCACGGTGACCACGGTGACGGCGGTGACGGTAGCGCCGGAGGTCACGACGCGACACAGGGTGGCAGAGCAGATGAGCTTCGCGCTGCACTCTCCCGCCAGACGAGCAGCGGCATGGGCGAAGCGGCGCTGCTTCGACAGCAGTCGCTCGGCGGGACAGAGTACGAGCACGTGATTCCGCAGCAGGCTGAAGAGCTTGACCGCCTGCAGCGCGAGTGGGTGGCGAAGGAGCTTGCGGAGGAAGAGGCCTTTGTCAGGGAGACGGAGGAGATGGACAGGCGCATGTACCTGGAGAGCGAGGCAGACCACGACAAGCAGCTGGCCAAGGTCGGCGTGACGCCCAACCCGCTGGTGGACTTGGCAGAGGGCACAGCGCAGTATGACTTCTCCATTGCCCGCACGGTGCGCGGACTCAAGTGGTATGGCCGGTGGTCTACCGTGCGTGACCGCCGCCTGTTCTGCCCCTCCATCGCCCCTGTGCAGCCGCTTGCCGTCCCCTGCGGGCCGTGGCGGCCGGGCGAGACGCCCCTCAAGCCCGAAGATGTGGATGGTGATGGCAAGAACGCTGACGCCGACGCGCGCAAGGACCAAACTGCAGAACAGGGCGTGAAGACTGGTGGGGACAAGCAGCAAGGAAAGGCTGCGTCTTCAAGCACAGCAGCTCCGGCACCAGCACCACCGCCGCCACCGCCGCCACCGCCGCCACCGCCAGAGATGATTGAGATTGCTGCCTCGCATGGGCTCGAGCCACCAAAGTCGCTGAAGCAGCAGTTGAGGGAGCAGCGTGCGCGTAAGGGCGGCAGCGACGGCGACGGTGCTGCCGCCGACGAGGACGAGGCGCTGCTGGAGGCCAAGAAGGCTGCCAGTGGTGTGAAGCAGTATGTGTTCCCGACACCTGATCCGAATGGCCCTGCATTCAAGCCAGACATTCTTCCGTTTGGTGTGCAGCACCTGGCCAAGCTGAACGCCGACGCGTCCTTCATTCTCCCCGTCCGCGCCCCATCCAAGGTTGTTCACATACGCGCGCGTGTTTGTTGGTGGGTTTGGGGGAGGGGGGGCCTTGTGGTTAAATGAAAATATTTCATGTGTCTGATCTGTTTGCTTTGTGTCGAGTGTGTGTGTGTGTGTGTGTGTGTGTGTGGGGGGGGGGGGGGTTGCACTGGTTCGTACCGCTCTTTGCTCTTCCAGTTGGCTTTTTCGTCTTCATTCTGACCCTTTCTTTCATCATGTTCTGTGACCCTTTTGTTGCAGCTGGACTCGTACACGGTTCACCTGTTTTTCCGCGTGGACAATCTTCCAGCCAACACGCACACGGCGCAGCTGCTCTTCAGCGCACCGCAGAGCAATGGCGTTGATGGCGAGGTCTACATTACGTCAAACGGTACGTGTGTGTATGAATATGTGTGTGTATTTGCGTGTGTACATGTGTGTGCATGTGTGTGTGCATGTGTGTGTGTGTGTGTCCGTCCGTCTATGTACTGTTGTGCGTGCGTGCGTTCATCGGTGTGCACAGTTGTGTGCACCATACTGATTTTCTGTTGCTCACGCCTCTGCTTGTTTCTTGCATGTGATGGGACAGGCAAGCTGTCAATCACAGACATTGAGTCTGCAGACACACAAGAAGAGGATGATGGTGCTGACAAGAAGAAGGCACAGAAGACACGAAAGCAGCGGAAGAAGGGAGCTGAGCAACCCGTCCACCAACAAGAGCAACAGCAAGAGCAACAGCAGAAGCAGAAGCAGGAGCAGAAGCAGAAGCCTCTCGTGACAAAGCCAACGCCTGCGAAGTCATTGGTTGTCAACAGCGACAGTGACGACACTGATGTCACAGACTCCGATGATGACACATCAGAGAGTGAGAGTGAGAGTGAGAGTGAGAGTGAGAGTGAGAGTGAGAGTGAGAGCGAGAGTGAGGCGGGTGGGGCAACAGGTATGGCTCCGACCATTAAGGCCAGACTGGCGGAAATCCTCGGGCCAACGAAGTGCGGGCCCCTTAAGACAGAACACTCACCCAACTTCAACATGGAGCGGCTGAGGCTCGTCATGTTTGCGGTCCGGCGCGCGCCAGACAGAGGCCTGCCTACCCAACACGTACGTGTGCGTGTGCGTGTGTGTTGGGGGGGGGGGGTGTACACGTGTGTGTGTGTGTGTGTGTGTGTGTGTGTGTGTGTGTGTGTGTGTGTGTGTGTGTGTGTGTGTGTGTGTGTGGCAGAGGATGATGAGTAATTCGTGTGATGTAGTGTGCAGGTGTCATGTGCATTGCTGGTGGGGTCTTGTTCAAGCTGACGCACGCGCACACATGCGCACACGCACGCACCCGAGCCTCATCCCTGCATGCTTTGCATGCTTTGCCTCTGTTTTTGTGTTGCAGATTGCCATGTTGGCGGAGACCTTGGTGTACAATTCGGCACCTATCCCGATCGTCGTTGATTTCTGCAAGCTGGCAATTGCACTCATTTCTCCTCTCCCCAAGGCAGACGCCAGCCACATCGAACGGTATGTGTGTGTGCGTGTGTGTTTATCTGTGTGTGTGCGTGTGTGTTTATCTGTGTGTCTGTGTCTGTGTCTGTGTCTGTGTCTGTGTCTATGTCTGTGTCTGTGTCTGTGTCCGTGTGGTGAATTGCATGCATCTTCACAAGCCAACGCGTGTCCTCACGTCCCATCGCATCCACACGCTTCTGCCAATCTCAGGGTGAAGCATGCCGTGAAGGGCGTCATGGACCTCTTCGGCTTGGCTGGCGAACCGGTAATCAAGCCCACAACCTTCGGCTTGTGCGTGTGTGTGTTGAGCGCCCCCTCGTCTTCACGCGTTGCATTCACACACACACACACAAACACACTCACATACACACATTCACTCACATACACATACACACACATACACACACTCACACACTCACACACTCACACAGACAAAAGACCAGTCATATTACGCTCGACCTGCCGTGGACGGCATCATTGCGTTCCTGTACGAGCAGTGCGGCCTGAACCTGGGCGTGTTCAACGCCCACGGCATTACAGTCACGATACCCAGCGAGGACGCTGACGAGGGCGACGCAGGTACCAGGCCGACGGACGGGCGCGTGCACAAGAAGCGCTGGCACATTGTGTCTATTGTAGTGGACGTGCACGCAGTGCAGGCGGAGGGCGAGGAGGGTGACCAGAACACGGGTGATGACGCTGGTCGTGGCGGTGATGCTGGCGGTGATGAGAAACAAGGGGCAGCGCCGCAACAGCTGGAAGGCGACGGCATTCGCATGTACGTTGACGGTGTGCTGGCTCGCAGCATCAGCGTACATCAGATTGCCAAGACATACTCCGTCGTCAACGACGCAGCAGACAAGGCCGGCTCCACCAAGAAGAAGGGTAACACCACACCCGGCGTCGGCGACGGTGGCGATGAGGGTCACCTGGGCGGTCCATCTTGGCTTGCGCTCACCCAGATGCAGAAGGCCTCCGCCAACCCATACCAGCTCGATGACACCATGCTCGTCTTTGGCAACGCCTTCACGGACAAGAGCCCTTGCAGTGAGCCCCCTCAATGGTTTTTGTTGTGTGTGTGTGTGTGTGTGTGTGTGTGTGTGTGTGTGTGTGTGTGTGTGTGTGTGTGTGTGTCGTCGTGTGTGTGTGTGTGTGTGTGTCGTCGTGTGTGTGTGTGTGTGTGTGTGTGTGTGTGTGTGTGTGTGTATCTCTACTCCCGCTTCCCCTCCTCGTGTTCTTTTGTGTGTCTCTCTCTGTCGACACGACATTTCTGATTCTTCCTCACGACTCACCTCAACTCCCGCTGCCCCTCGCCAATCCTCCCCACTGCCGTGCCTGGCAGGCAACCGCAAGCTCAAGTACGTGATGCTGCGCACCTCCGCCACGAGCGCTGCGCAGGTTGAAGCCGACGTGCAATGCATCTTCAACCGCTTCCGGAACGGCCGGGAGTACAACAAGCGCGTGCTCACCAAGGCCTGTCCAAACAAGGACAACGCCTTTCACGTGTGCTCCCATTACTGCCGCGAGCGCTTCGATGGGTCCCAGGGGCCGTGGTACGACGACTACCCCGACTTCAAGCGCGCCGCCATCGTGTCCAAGATCAGCAACCATTTCCTCAACCACGTTCAGCAATTCACGTCGCAGCCAACCAAAGTGACGACGCGGGTGCAGCGCTGGGAGGAGGAGGTCTTTGCACGCAAGCTGCCGAGCGAGAGGGAGTACGTTCGCGCGGTGCAGGAAGTGCAGCACCAACTGCAACTGCACTGGCAGAACTGGGGCATCAACATTCCACTGCTCGCTGATCTCTGGGAGGAGGTGGACGGCAACGCCAATGATGATGATGATGAGGATGATGGTGGTGACAATGATGAGTCCACAAACCCCTTCGGTGGTAGCCAACAGCAGCAGCAGCAGCAGCAGCAGCAGCAGCAGCAGCAGCAGGCTTCGTTTGGGAGCGCTGGCTGGGGTCTAACCTCTGCCGAAGCGTTTGGTGGCGGCATCCAAGCTGGTGGGTTTGGGGCCGCGTCCACCAGCACGGGATTCGGCAGCGGCGCCTTCTCCTTTGGCAACGCTGCTCCCAATCCGTTTGCCGCCGCGCCATCCTCCTCTTGGGGCTTTGGCGCACAGCAGCAGCAGCAGCAGCAACAGCAGTGGGGCTTCGCGCCTTCATATTCACCAACGTCGACCGGCGGGTTTGGTAGCGCAGGATCGTCTGCTTCGTTCTCGTTTGGCACCCAAGGGTTTGGAAACGGCAACAACAACAACAACAACGGCAACGATGGTGGAGGATCTGGATGGTCGTTTTAATGCATCAGTGCGCGTGCACATGATGAGTGTGGTGTGTGTGTGTGTGTGTGTTTGTGTGCGTGTGGTGTGTGTGCGTGTTCAGTGTGTGGTGTGTGTGTGTGTGTGTGTGTGTGTGTGTGTGTGCGTGTTCAGTGTGTGTGTGTGTGTTGTGTGTGTGTGTGTGTGTTGTGTGTGCTTTGACCTTGTGAGGTTCTGTAGTGTTGTTTCTTTTGTGCGATTCCTTGACGTCGTGGCGATGTGAGTTGTTGGCGGCAGGTGGACGGGAGCCTTTGCTCACATGTTGTCTGCTTGAAGTGCACGTGATATGCGAATGTCAGCATGGCTTTGCTTTCGCTTGCTTGTACTTTGTGTGCCAACGGCAACAGCAACGTCGCTGCACCAAGCCAACGCATGGGCAATACAAGAGTGAAAGAGCCAACAGAACAACACAAAGAAAGGAAGCTTGGATGTGGGTGGATGCGAATAAGAAGGAGGCTGCAGCACAACACACACACACACACACACACACACACACACACACACACACACACACACACACACACACACATAAGTGCTGTGAAACAAACCGCCAAGCAAGCGCAGTGAGGGGGATGGCCGTCTGTATTTCACTGTTCGTCGCCAGCATCGTCGTCATCGTCGTCGTTGTCGCTCGAGTCCAGTCCATCACCTTTATCGTACACATTCCCACCCTCATCATCATCCTCATCATCATCCTCATCATCCTCATCATCATCATCATCATCATCATCATCATCATCATCATCATCATCATCATCGTTGTTGTTGGCGCGCTGCTGCTCTTCTTCCATGGTCGCTTGCACCACCTGCGACATGTGTGTGTACAGCTTGCCATGCTTGCGTGACCGCTTGCTCTGCCGGTTGAAGCGGCGCGCCAGTGTCGCTGTCGAGAAGGAGAGGGAGCAGAGAAGAAGAGGAGAGGAGAGGAGACAAGGAAGAGGAGAGGAAGAGAAAAGGGAGGAGGTGGAGGAGAACAGTAATGAGGCATGTGGCACACACCACGTGACAACATAGGTAGGGGACGAGCAAGTATCCATGAAGCAAGCACACTAGTGAGGTAGCCACCAACTGTACACACGTGCATACACACACACACACACACACACACGCAAGCAGACACAAGCGGCACATGTACAGGCGAAACCTCAACGCAGAGCAAATACTCAACATGCACATACACAACGTGCACGTGCGTGTGCGTACACATCAAAATAACCGCAGTCACACACACACACAACACACACACACGCACGCACGCACACACGCACGCACGCACACACACACACATACACACACACTTTGACGTACCTTTGTGCTTGTGGATCTTGTCGCGAAGGACGGTGGATGCATATTCCTGCAACCGCGTGGCAGCCTCTTGTTGCGAGACCACCTTCTCAACACCGTGCGTGCTCGTGACACCGACGTTTGTGCGGCCCGTCCGTCCACCCCAGTTGAACACCTGGTACTTGCTCTCCTTGAGTGTGTTTGTGTACCGCGGGCGCTTGTCCTGGGGCCGCTCGCCCTTGGAGCGGAAGATGTCGCTGATGGCGGCGAGGAAGTCCACCTGAGTGGCATCGGTGGTGTTGGTGGTAGGAGGACAACGGTGGTGGTGAGGGGATGGTGGAGGTGGTGGAAGTGAGGGGATGGAAGTGAGGGGATTAAAGTGAGGGGATGGAGGTGCGAATGGTGTGTTGGTGCAGCAACGCAACCGAAACAGGTTTCAGCGATGAAGCGCACTGAGCAGCACACAAACGCGCACAGAGTGTAACAGCACAACAACACACACACACACACACACACACACACACATGTACACAGACAGGGACACACACACACACACACACACACACACACACACACACACACACACACACACACACACACACACACACACACACACACACACACACACACACACACGTTCGCACTGGCAATTTTCAAGGCTTTCCCCTTTCTCCCTCTCACAAGGGCCCAGCCACACCTCGGTACGCTGATGTGTGACACCTCATTGTTTCGGCTTGTTGTTTGTGCTTTGTTCGTGCTTGTCGAATGCCACCACTTGCAGCCTGACGGAGCATCGCTGCATCACTACGTGTCTTGCTTGTATTCCCTACATGCCTTGGGACGTGGCAGATGCCCGCTCGACAAGTCGCCGGAGCAGTACCGCTTGACACACACGCACACTCTCGCTACCTCTCTTGGTGACAAGCAAGACGAACACGAGGGCAATCGACAGTCAACAACTAGCGACGTCGACATGTCCAAACGGTCAGTGTCAGCACATACGCATGCACATGCTGAATGCACTTTCTCATGCATACGCCGACACCTTGTCTGTAATCTTGTCTGCATGCACCGGCAGCCTTGCACGTGCAATCTTCACTCACACCAAGTTGAAACCCATGTCACATACGACAGGTTCTCGAAGGGTGTGTTAACTGGCAAAGACGCCAAAGAAGCAGTCACCAGGTTGCTTGGTGATCACGCTGACAAAGAGGGTGTGTGTACGGACATCGCTATTTCCACCCCGTGCACATCCACAAAAGCAGAGGCAGTGCGCGCGATCATCGAGGCTCTGTGCAATATTCCTGACGGAGGCACGCGCCTGCTGCACTTTTCCGCGCCAACACCAGCTCACGCTGCCAAGTTCCGCGACGGCTCACTCAGCTCCGCCGTCAATGCTCTTGGCATGGTCTTGACCTCAAGTACGGCGCCGACTATCAATCCTCGCTCTGTTTATGTTCGGCAACCCCATCCAGATGCTGTCGACATCGTGTGCTTGGTCAGCAGCATGGTCAGCATGCCCGGCACAAGCCAAGGCCCTCTGCTGAGTGTTTATGCGAACGCCGAGGTTCCAAAGCTGCCAGCTCGCCGGCTCGGCGCTGTTGACGGTACCCGTTTCAGCTGGGATGAAGTGGAGCAGGCGTTTACTCAATTGCCCCCAAAATGTGCGATGACGGAACTGGCCTCCTTGGCTGAGGTAAGCCGCAACGCTGTTGTTTGGGTGTGGTTTGGCTGGTTGATTTGATACCGCTTGCTTGCTTGCGAGAGAGTTCAGGAAGATAGCGGGTTTGCTGCAGTTGTGCACAAACCATGACGGCACACACACACACACACACACACACACACACACACATACACTCATACACACACACTCTCTCACACACTCACTCACTCACACACACACACACTCACACACACACTCACTCACTCACACACACACACTCACTCACTCACTCACACACACACACTCACACACACTCACTCACACACTCATACACACACACTCTCTCTCATACACTCACACACACGCGCGCGCTTGTTTGCTCTGGCGGTACAGGTTGTGGAACCCAGTGAGTCATTTGTACAAGGAAAACCGGTTCCCCAACACTCGCCGGAATGGCGCCGCACGGAATTGAAAGAGCTTGAATGGGTACGCGAGCGACCGAAGAGTGAGAATGGCTCCGCTGCCACGGATGCGTTCAAGAACGTGCTGGGCAAGTTCCACTTTCAGCACACAACCAAGAAACACAAGTATTTGTTGCAGCTGTGGCATTCGGACGTCGTTGATGCGCACTCGGAACCTGCCCATTTTCTTGTCGGCGTCGACGACGACGGCGTTGTGGTTGGCATGCCGTTTCCACTCGACGAGGGCGCCGAATACGACGCGCTCGAACAAGCACGGCTGATCTTGGAAGCGCGCATTGGCGAGCTGTGGCCGCAGCCCACGGCGCCCGCCCAGATTTGCCTCTGCGACGTCGATGCACCCGATGGGCAGATTGTGGACGGCAAATACGCCGCCATCGCCTGGGACTCGCCACAGTGGGATCAGTGGCTACGACAGCACTGGCCGCGAACTCAGAAAGGACGGCAGAAGCCGCGAATCGAGCTGCCAGACAACATCGCCCGGGCGCTCGCGCTCACCCGCGCTGGGCAGGCCGACACCGTCATCAAGCCACCACCTACACCTGAGACAGACATGGAGCACTTGCGCGCAGAGAAGGACCGCGCGTGGGCAGCGTACTGCCAAGCGAGACAACAGCACGACGATGCCGTACTGACAAATCAAGCACCAAGACACATCGAGGACGCACGCAAGAACATGGATGCAGCGCTTGCACACCACACGGAGATCCACAACGCCATCTACCGTGCTGAGAACTCCGTCTCACAGCGGCAGCAGCTTCATGATCGTGACACGCCACAGCTGCTGCTTCTTGTCCCACCCAAACTGGCAGAAGCAGCGGGAATGCCGACAACACTTGTGCCCTCGGAGCAAGTGGTGCCTCTCCGGCATGTTGTGTTGCACATCACGTTTCCTGCGACGCCCATTCAGCTCTTCTCTCGCAAAGCGGACGTGCTGGTGCACGTGCTGCTCCACGACAGGCAAGGGCGCGCTTTTGTGGAAGCCCTGCCGCCCCCAGCAACTTGGGCACACCTGCGGTACCTTCGCAACAACGACCTTCTCAGCGTTGCTTGGCACCACGCCACATCCGCTGCAGTTGTGCTACGAGACAGCGACTACGTGCTCTTCCCTGGACGTGGGCAGCAACCAGCCACCTGCACACGCATCGAGCAAGTGTGCAAGTATCTCTTTGCCAGCCACGTGTTGGTGGTAGTGGTGGACGAGCTGGCCTTGGTTGCGGGTGCGCGTGTTCCAATGCTTCGACCACTGCTTGAGCAACTCGACAGCACCGTTTCAGCCCATGTGGTGATGCTTGCCACGCGCGCCTTTCACGTGGAGCCTCTGCTTCGCGCTGCAGCTGCGGTCCAGGCCTCCTGCTCACGAAAGTGCTGCTGGGACGTGCAGCTGGTACCGCGACACGTGGTGGCGAACGTGCTGAGTGTCCGTCCACCAGAGCCACCGGCTTACAGCAGCGGAGGCGGAGGCGGAGGCGGAGGCCTCGCGTGTCTGCTGCCCAAGCAACACTGGGCCGTTGCGGATGGTTGCGGCTTCTACCTTGTCAACGCGCTCTGCTGCTATGACGGTCATGGCCTGGACATGAAGCGTGACTTGGACAGCTTCGTGCAAAAGCAGATTCCCTTGCCGTTTCCGTTCACGACCAAGGTTCCCATGCGTGATGCAGCTCGCATTCTGCTGTCCAAGCTGGAGACATGCAGCAAGGCGCAACCGTGGATTGTGCATGCTGTGCAGTGCTTTGCGGCTGGCGGCGTCACGACGAGCCTGCGGCAGGTGATGGCGCTGACGGCAGCAGACAGCTGGGTCCTGGAGCTGACGCGCGACGACCCCGACACGGTGCAAGCAATGAAAGAGGCCGTCTTGCGCCTTGTGAAAGACACGCCGAGGCGGGTGGTCATCTTCATCGACAGCGGCGCCAGAGTACATGCCCAAACCAGTGAGACACTCGCTCGTGACCTGCACCACCACATCTTTAAGAAGACCGACAACAACACACGAGTGCCCGTAGTTGTCGTGTGGGTGACGCGATGGATGCCGCTTGCTCCGAAACCACAACGCGTTGACGTCGTCTTCCCCTTTCACCTGGAGACCAAGGCCATGAAGAAGCACGTGGCCGCGTTCCTGCGCGAGTGCGCTGTGGGTGATAGCCGAGGTGCAGGTAGCGATGGGAGCGCAGGGGATGTTGCCGCACGGCTGCAGGAGCTTGTTGACGCCAGTTTGCCTGTTCACATGGCAGAGATGCTGAGCTGCGTGACGGATTGGCCGAATGTGGTGGCCAGCAAACGGCTTGAGTCACTGGACGAGGCTGGCGTCTCTACACTGGGCTGGATGGCTGCTTTCAGCCTGTGCCAGTACGCAAGAAGCCGTGGTGGTGGTGGTGCACAAGGGCAGTACTGCTGGGTGCCTCTTGACGACGAGCGACGACGGGCGCTGGCGCCCGTGGAAGACATGCTGCTGCACCGCTACGACGCAAGCCAATGGCGCGGCTGCGTGGCCCTCTCGCCTTTCTGGGCACTGGTGATCCTGCAGTCGCTGCGCATCAACCTCGACAAACAGGCGAAGTTCTTGGACGTGGTGGTGACGGGCCTGTGCGTGTGCGTCAACATGCACTGGTTTGAAACCACCCGGCAGATCATCAGCGGCGATCTTCCATTGTGGCTGACGATCTTCCAGAGGGACGATGGGCGCATGACGCAGGAGGACAAGGAGTGCATGGAGGAACGGCTGGCTGCTGTGTTTCGTGCGGCCAAGGGCATGCCGGAGATGCACGTTGGGCATGAAGTCAAGATTGCGCAGACCCTTATTGCACTTCACGTGACCCTCTCCAAAATGGAGCGCAAGATCTGTACCCACACCGACACACATACACGCGCCCTTGATCGCGGAGTGCTGCGAGTTCAGAGCTTGCGTCGTGCGTTGAAGCACGCTGGAGCGGCAGTGGACACCCTGCGCAACCCCGCCCTGCACAGGCAAAGATCGCGTGTTGGGTTCATCGGCGAGTCATCGTACGCTTACTGTGTTGCTTTGCTGGCTAATGAGCTGCGACGGCTTATGGCGACCATCACCAGCACATTCAGCACGGCTTCGGTCCCCGCCGCGACGAAGCTGCGCCACAGTTTGAGTTCTATGGGTGGAGTGGCGTGCGTCCTGCTTCGGAAGCTGCAGGAACATGCGCAGGACAAGAACGAGGTGCGAGTTCTCAAGTCCAAGGAAGAGAAGACAACGCGGCTGCTTGGGTTAGACCCAGCAAAACTGCCAGGGCCTGGGGAGCAGCCAGCAGTTGCCGTGGAGGAGTACATTGCTGCTTGCATGAAGGCTGGTGACGAGCTTTTGAACGTGAGCGAGGCCTTGTGTCACGACTTGGACGCCAAAACCCCACCTGAGAAGATCGACAGCCGACTGAAGAACGCCCGTGTTCACATCTCGAAGTTTATGCAGGCTTCTCAGCTCAGGACCTGTGCACCCGCTCTCGCCCCGCTGAAGCAGCACCAACGACTGGAGGTTGCCCATCCTCGCATCAAGAAGAGTGAGGCTATCCCTGACAAGCAGCTCGGAGAAGCGCGTGTGGCTTTCATGAAAATGCGCCTGAAGACACGCGCTCGGCAAGACCGCATATGAAGGACCAAGGCAATTCACAGTTGTGCATGGTGTGCTGGAGTACATGAGCGCACGTGCACGTCGTGTCTCGAGCTGTTGTGTGTTCAGTGTGTGTGTGCGTGTGTGCGTGCGTGTGCCTGTGTGTTCAGTGTGTGTGTGCGTGTTCAGTGTGTGTGTGCGTGTGTGTGTGTTGTGTGTGTGTGTGTTGTGTGTGCTTTGACTTTGTAAGGTTCTGTAGTGTTGTTTCTTTTGTGTGATTCCTTGACGTCGTGGCGATGTGAGTTGTTGACGGCAGGTGGACGGGAGCCTTTGCTCACATGTTGTCTGCTTGAAGTGCACGTGATATGCGAATGTCAGCATGGCTTTGCTTTCGCTTGCTTGTACTTTGTGTGCCAACGGCAACAGCAACGTCGCTGCACCAAGCCAACGCATGGGCAATACAAGAGTGAAAGAGCCAACAGAACAACACAAAGAAAGGAAGCTTGGATGTGGGTGGATGCGAATAAGAAGGAGGCTGCAGCACAAACACACACACACACACACACACACACACACACACACACACACACACACACACACACACACACACACACACACACAAGTGCTGTGAAACAAACCGCCAAGCAAGCGCAGTGAGGGATGGCCGTCTGTATTTCACTGTTCGGCGTCAGCATCGTCGTCATCGTCGTCGTTGTCGCTCGAGTCCAGTCCATCACCTTTATCGTACACATTCCCACCCTCATCATCATCCTCATCATCATCCTCATCATCATCATCATCATCATCATCATCATCATCATCATCATCATCATCGTTGTTGTTGGCGCGCTGCTGCTCTTCTTCCATGGTCGCTTGCACCACCTGCGACATGTGTGTGTACAGCTTGCCATGCTTGCGTGACCGCTTGCTCTGCCGGTTGAAGCGGCGCGCCAGTGTCGCTGTCGAGAAGGAGAGGGAGCAGAGAAGAAGAGGAGAGGAGAGGAGACAAGGAAGAGGAGAGGAAGAGAAAAGGGAGGAGGTGGAGGAGAACAGTAATGAGGCATGTGGCACACACCACGTGACAACATAGGTAGGGGACGAGCAAGTATCCGTGAAGCAAGCACACTAGTGAGGTAGCCACCAACTGTACACACGTGCATACACACACACACACACACACACGCAAGCAGACACAAGCGGCACATGTACAGGCGAAACCTCAACGCAGAGCAAATACTCAACATGCACATACACAACGTGCACGTGCGTGTGCGTACACATCAAAATAACCGCAGTCACACACACACACACAACACACACACACGCACGCACACACACACACACACACACACATACACACACACTTTGACGTACCTTTGTGCTTGTGGATCTTGTCGCGAAGGACGGTGGATGCATATTCCTGCAACCGCGTGGCAGCCTCTTGTTGCGAGACCACCTTCTCAACACCGTGCGTGCTCGTGACACCGACGTTTGTGCGGCCCGTCCGTCCACCCCAGTTGAACACCTGGTACTTGCTCTCCTTGAGTGTGTTTGTGTACCGCGGGCGCTTGTCCTGGGGCCGCTCGCCCTTGGAGCGGAAGATGTCGCTGATGGCGGCGAGGAAGTCCACCTGAGTGGCATCGGTGGTGTTGGTGGTAGGAGGACAGCGGTGGTGGTGAGGGGATGGTGGAGGTGGTGGAAGTGAGGGGATGGAAGTGAGGGGATGGAGGTGCGAATGGTGTGTTGGTGCAGCAACGCAACCGAAACAGGTTTCAGTGATGAAGCGCACTGAGCAGCACACAAACGCGCAAAGGGACAAGACCAAGTGTAACAGCACAGCAACACAAGCATACACACGCACACACACCACACATATACAGACAGACATATACATACATAACGACTACTCACGTTAATCCGCTCCATGCCGAACGTTTCGTTGGCCTTTGCGTACGGGGAGACGTCATTCATCATTGTTTCGTGCAGTGCATCCAGAATGCGCCGCTTCAGAAACGCAACCTTGGGCACAATACCCGCAAACCCAGCCTATGTTTCGCACATGCGCGTGTGTTCACGTGACAACGGGGTCAAGACGCCATTGAATTCGTAGCTTGCGAGAGGGGAGGGGGATGGCATGTCTGAAATGGATTGGAACTTTGCAGTGCTACCAGATACGTGGACAGGTGGGCATGCGCTAATGCGCGCACTTTTACCTGGAGTTGCCGAACGCCTTCTGCTCCGATATCGTAATTGAACGGCGGCATGAACGACTCATCTGCCATCGTGCCAACACCCCTGTCAACAGTGGCGTGTTGTCGTTCCTGTTGAGTGTGATGTGCACATGCTTCCAGTCTCGAAGCTCACCAGGCAGAGCAATGTGCACCCACTTCAGACACACCAACGTCAAAAACACCAAAGACAAGTTCAAAACAACGACCACGCCAAATGCCCACTTGAGAAAGACGTCGCGAACTTTTGCAATCGCCTCTGTCGGTGTCTCTGCGGATGTGCAGTGCCCAGACAAGCAAGCAAGTGATGTGTAACACGACACGTGAGCAAACACGTGCCATTTCCAACTTGTGTGGCGAAACGCGACTGTACAGCGTCAACCAGCCCATGAGACCTGCAGCAACGGCAAAGACTACATTTGTTGATGTGTAACTCACCTTGCGAGTGCAAGACTTGGTAGACAAGATCGGACACGCGTTCCGAGTACACAGAAAACGACTTTGGATTCGCTGTGTGTGTGTATGTGTGTGTGTGTGTGTGCGTGTGTGTGAAAGGAGACGGGGTCATGGTACGAATGTGTTCAGATGATATCGCAAAAGTAAATGGTGTGGTTATACGCAGTACAAGTGAATGACAATCACACACACGTTCACAACACACACACACACCTTGTGGATCGAAGCAGCTGATCATGGAATCGATGGCAACTGGGTCGTTGTTCTCGTCAAACATGATATTCTCCATGTTGCCTTTGTTGTCCCACACGCACGGCAACCTGCAGTTGCAGCAATGTATGTGCGATGAACAAGAAAGCACCTCAATAACACGCACGCACGCACACGATGGGTCACGTACGCATTTACACATGCAGAACTAAAGCACACACACGCACACACGCACACACGCACACACACACGCACGCACACACGCACACACATACACACGCATTCACATACAAAAGCACATTTACAAACACACAAACCGTTTCCTCCTGTTAAGCTCACCTGTCGAAGTTGTGAATGAAAACGTCAAAGCCGACAATCGCGCCCATCTCGCGCAGTCGCCGCTTCCCGTCCTGTGTCAGACAGCATTCAATGGAGCAATGGAGCAAGTCGTGGGTTGAATCGTATGTGGAGAACACATCTTCAAGCTACACATGGTGGAGATGATTGGCGGTGTACATCACACACACACGCGCACAACCCACGCCCGCACACACACGCACACGCACATCACGTACATGACCGCACCTCGTGGAGCTTGCCCTGTGGTCCAAACGTGGCCTCGCACCACTCGCGTCGCTTCTCCTCGGGCTGAAATGCAATTTCACGCAGTGTTCGCCCCCGCACATATTCCATCACCAGCAGGAACGGCAAGTCAAGTGCCTTGCGGAGGCCTGGAGGGCAAGCGGGCGTGGATGGTGGATGGGGTGTGTACGAGCACGCACAGAGGTGAGATAGAGTATACGTGACGAAATGCGTTGTTGTGGATGAGCAGGGCGCTTGCGGAAGGCATGACATACGCCACACACATACACCACACTGACTTTGCTGTTGGTCCTTGGGCTTCTCTTCGTCCAATTCACACAGGCGGTTGTACAAAAGGGAGCCTGGTGGTGGGGATGGCAGTGTAAGTTGCTCCGAGGAACGTGATCACGACGAATACACACGCATATACACGCACATACACGCACACACACGCACACACACACACGCACACACACGTAGACTGTTACCTTTGGGACCCTCTCTGCTGACCATGCGCACGTTTGGGCAGCGGACGCCAAAGAATTCGGCCAGGGTACT